TTTTTATTTTCTGTGGGGCTTCGGTTAATCAATTGAAGAATGTTAGGAGGGTATTGTTGATTTTTGAATTGTTATCGGGATTAGAGATCAATCTGGCTAAAAGTAAGATTTTTGGGATTAATGTGGAAGAGGGGGTGTTAAAAGAGTGGGCTGACTCTATTGGATGTTCAGTGGGTACTTTCCCATCTTAGTATCTTGGAATTCCCCTTGGAGCTAAAAGGAATTCGGCAACATTGTGGGAACCAGTGGTGAGCAGATTTCAATCAAAATTGACCGGATGGAAAGCTTCTTCTCTTTCGTTGGCTGGTAGAACCGTGCTTGTCAAGTCGGTGTTGAGCTCATTACCTATTTATTTCTTTCCATCATTAGAATTCTTGCATCAGTTTTGAAAGTTTTAAATTCTATTATGGCAAGATTCCTGTGGGGAGGGTCAGGTGAGAGGAAAAAGTTGCCTTGGGTGAAGTGGTTGTCTGTATGTTTCCCGAAGAGTTGTGGAGGGTTGGGGATACCTAATATGCATTTGGTGAATATAGCTTTACTAGGCAAATGGGTCTGGAAATTTTCGACCGAAAAGGATTTAGGATGGAAACATTTGATTTGTTGTAAATATAATGTGGATGGTAATGAAATTTTATTGAAGGAGGTCCCAACCCAAGCTTCTTGGTTGTGGAAGAATGTTGCCCCAAGTTGGATGAAAAAGGATGTGTTGGGTGAGGTTGCTCGGAATAAGTTGGTTTTGAAAGTTGGGGATGGGAAATCTATTACATTTTGGCATGACGTGTGGATTGATAGGGTGTCACTAAAGGATATGTTTCCAAGACTGTTTGCTTTATCTGTTAATAAAGAGATGAAAATTTCAGATTACGACTCTTTTTGCTCTTCAACTTGGATATGGGATATCAAATGGAAGAGGAATTTAGCGGATTGGGAAGCTGATGTGTGGATTGAATTTATGAATTTATTGGATTCTGTGAAATTTGATCAGAGTAGAGTTGATTGCTTATTATGGAAAGGATGTGGTGATGGGGTCTTTACGGTGAGGTCCTGTTTGAAGGGATGGTCCGAGATATTGGGGATTGAACAAAATTGGAATCGGACGGTTTGGAGTGGCCTCGTTCCTCCGAGGGTGGAATCTTTCCTTTGGCAAGTTATGATTAAAAAGCTGGCTGTGAAGTGTGAGTTAGTGAAAATGAAGGTTCCAGGTATTGAGGATACGCTTTGCCCGCTATGCGGGTTGTTTCCTGAATCGGTATCGCATTTATTTTTTACCTGTAATATTTCTTGGGAGTTGTGGTGTAGGTTTTTGTGGTTTGGAATCTTTAATCCACTTTACATTTTGAACCTGATGTTTTTCTGCAAGTTTGGTGGGGGTTGGTTGGGAATTTTGAAATTTGGAAAGTTGTTTCTGGTGTTGTTTTATGGTCTATCTAGAAGTATAGGAACATGTTAGTGTTTGAGGGAGGGTTATTGGACCAGATTAATCTTTTTTTCCTTGCAAGATATAGGCTGATGACCTGGTTCTCGGCAAAACATAAAGAATTTTCGGGGTTGTTTGACTGTCGTATGGGGGATCCTTCTATTGCGGATAGGTGTGGTAAATAGGGGAGCACGATGTTATCTCGGTCTAGGTGGATTCCGCCTCCTGCAGGCTTTTTAAAATTGAATGTGGATGGTGTTGTCACGGATGATTGGCTGAAAGGGGGCATTGGAGGGATTATTAAAGATTCAGGGGGTTATTTGTTGGCTTCATTCTCTGAGGCAGTTGGTCAGGGGCCTCCTACAGCTGTTGAAATGTTGGCTATTAAAAGGGGTTTGAACCTCTTTTTTTATTCTCAATGGGGTGGTGAAGCAAGACTGATTGTTGAATGTGATTGTCTTGTTGTGGTTAATTGGGTTAACAACTTGGGGGTTGCCCGAATCAGTATTGTCTGTTGTTTAATGAAATTTTAGAGATTATTAGGGATAAGGATGTGATGATAAGGCATATTTCCAGAGGGACTTATTGGGGGGTGAATAAGTTGACAAAAGAGGTCATTGGATGAGTGGGGTTGTGTGTAGGCATTTTGTGTTAGATTTGGGGGGTTTTGTATTGTTTGGTTTCTAGTGGAAGTAAGGCTTTGGTGTTACCTAATATGTATTTTTATGATTGTTCAATAAAATTATGAGACACTCTTTTCCTTCTTCCAATGCTTGACAAAACTTTTATATTTCGTTGAGTATGAAGGGATTTTTTAATAAGGTCTCCCTGTTCTATCAAAAAAAATAAAAAAAAAAATTGTGTTGAGTTTATGAAATTTGAGTAGAATCAAATCGAATATATTTGTTCGAGTTTCTATTCAAATTTAAATATAATTATTTATAATGTATGGTATTTTTTAAAAAAAGAAGAGGATGCCTTGTTAAAATGTATGGTATTGATTGATTCCAAATTAAACAAGTCTCTTTAGCCATATATTATATGCACATATATGATTGACTTTTTATATGGAAACAATATTAGTAGACAAATAGGAACATGATCACATAGAAAAACATTTGGGCTGTGGATCATCCTCTTTTGGTCATTTTCCCTAGATTGTTTTCTATTTCCTCAAACAAGGAAGGAAAATTATTTGAATTTGGTGAATATAGCTCTTCGGGATGGATTTGGGATGTGCAGTTTAGAAGAAATTTAAATGATTGGGAATTTGAGCAGTGGTCTAATTTGATGGTTGTCATTTCGAATTTTTCCCTATCTATGGAAATTTCTGATGGGTTGATTTGGAAAGGTACTGGGGATGGGGATGTATACTGTAAGATCTGCTGTTAATCTCTGTTCATCGGATTCTTTGGGATCGGAGGAGGGCTATTTTTGGAAGAAGATAATTTGGAGGGGCCTGATGCCTCCAAGAGTGGAGTCATTTCTATGGCAGGTTGTTCTTGGGAAGCTGGTTGTTAAGACAGAACTTGTTAAAAGGGGAGTTCAAGGAATTGAAGACTTGTTATGTCCTCTTTGCAAGATGGTGGATGAGTCCCCCTCTCATTTGTTTTTCTCTTGTTCGGTGGTGTGGTCTTTATGGAAAAAATTTATGAATTTTTGGAGGATCGATTTTGTTTTACATGATAATGCTAAAAGCTTTTTTCTAGCTTGGGATGCTTTGAAGACTAACTCACCGATATGGCCATTTATTCCAGGGGTTGTTCTTTGAACCACTTGGAAAATTAGGAATATTATTTTGTTTGAAGGGCGAAAGTTAGATCGGGCAGAATATTTCTTCTTAGCAAGGTTTATGCTTGCTTCTTGGTTCTTAGCAAAGCATAAAGAGGTTTCTATCCCTAAGGACTCACTTATTTCAGACCCTTCCTTAGGGGACTCTTGTTCTCTCTATTCTAATCAGATTGTATCTATGTTTCCTTGGTCTCCTTCTCCTAAGGGCTTTGTAAAATTAAATGTTGATGCTGCAACTACAAGGGATTGGAAGAAAAATGGATTAGGAGGAGTTTTAAAAGACTCCTCAGGATTGACCCTGGGCTCTTTCAAGGAGTCTGTTGGTCCGGGGCCTCCGACCTTGATGGAATTAAAAGCTATTCAAAAGGGGTTGTCGTTCTTTGTATATTTTCGAGAACGGGTCAAGGACCGTTTGATTATTGAGAGTGACAGCAAGGTGGCAGTGGATTGGATTAAGGAAGTTGAATTATGTCCAGATGTTTATGCTTTTATGGTTAAAGATATTGTTCATAGGCTTAAAGTCTTTGAAGGTGTTGTTAGATGGGTAAATAGGACAACCAACTTAGAGTCTGATGCCTTAGCTAAAGAAGAAATAGGATGAGTTAGTGTTGTTGTTTACGGTTGTTTAGGGTTGTTTTATGGTTTTCTGTTTCTGTTAGGGGTGTTTTTTATGTTGTTTCTTATGTAATTTCCTATGTTGAATAAAATCTTAAGGCACTCTTTTCCTCCTTTCGCTGATTAAGGAGCTTTCCTACAAGCTCCATTAATCAAGAAGGGGGGTTTCTAACGAGGCCTGCAATTCTTATAAAAAAAATATTACCTTATCTTGATACTGTGGTAATATAACTGTCGGCAATTCTTCTATTAAATGGGGTATAGGTAGCAAATTTTTTACAGGAGTGTGTCATGTGATCTGTAGCTTCTAAATCAATATCCCAAGAATTTGTTATTGACTTATCTAAGACATTTATTCCCTAGGACCTACAGAAACTTAGTTGAGTGTGCCTAGGAGGAAGCACTGATAGTACCAAGGTATTTCAGGTGTCCCTAATAGGTTTATGAACTTCTGAATCTCTTTTTGTTGAACCCTTCTAGTTCTTGAGGCTTTTCTTGGCTCAATTGTGTTGTGGTCATGTGTGCTTGTCCTTGATTTCATGTGTCTTGTTTTATAACCACTTTCCCTGCTTGGAGATTTTTCCATGCAGTTTGCTGCTTGGTATGTCTTAGATTTAATGACTTTTTAGCCTCAATTATTGATGCCTTTTCCAAAGTTAAGCTTTCCGTGCTCTCTTTATTTGACATCTCTCTGATGGTTGGGTTCAAGCATCATGTGCGTCAAAGAACTTAGAAAATAGATCAGAATATATGCTATCTATGGGAACTAAATATTGACAATAACTCTTGAATCCTGATATGTTCATTCTAATTTATTTGTCTAATTACAACCTGATTATAGCATGTTTCCAGCTTACTGAAAAGTAGAATATGAATATGGAACCAGAATTTTTTTTTGAATTCATAAAAATTTTGAATTTCACTTTTGATCTTTTAACTCATGATTGGTTCATATTGTAACTGGAAATTAAGTGTTATCCTAAAACAGTTCATATTCAGCTTTTTGTCACAGTTCCTTCTACTGGTTTTTCTTCTTTTGTTGAACCTGTGGAATGATAATTTCTTTAGCAGCTACTTCGTTTTTTATTCTTACTATGAGCAGTGCCTATTAAGTGAAACTTTAACTCCTTGAACTCTGCTTCTGGGATGCTGAATCTTGATTTTTCTGTTTTGATAGGTACCTGTAGTGACAGCGAGCTTTCCAGTTGATCGTAGTTGTAAATATTGTGAAGGCTCTTTCCCATATTTCAGAGGATTGGCAGATTCGGTTATGTACGTTATGCATTTTTAGCTGTTTGAGATTAGATCTTCATATTTTTCATAATAATTGCTACAGTTGCTAATTGTTATTGATGTCATAAGCAGGGTAATGAATGGTATAAATGCTCCAAAAGTGGTTGAATGCTTGGGTTCTGATGGTCACAAATACAAGCAGCTTGCAAAGTCTGGGAATGATGACCTAAGACAAGATGCTGTAGGAATTTTCTCTAACCTTCTGTTTTTGTACCTTGGTGAAACAGTCAATCTTAAGATATTGCTCAGCCTTAAAATCTTAAGATATCGTTTTAGTGATCTACCACATCGCTCCCCTTAGCATTAAGTATGAAAATGTTTATGCTAATATCTTCTCCAGGTGAAATCTGTCATTTTATTTGGCCAGAAAATATAGAGCAATTTATTTAGGACATGCCTTTCATATGAGAGTTGATCCTCGTAGCCTTAATAAACATTATGTAAAAGTTCAGTTAAACTAGCCTTAAGTCTTATTTGAGAACATGTTCTGATATTATTTAGGTTCTGGCAGAGCCCTTCTAAAATTGTTTCAAGAGCCCTTTTTATTGGGTCCAAGTGGTGCATTATTTAAATTAAAAATAAACTTTTTGGATAATTTTTTTAGGTTATGGAACAGTTTTTTGGACTGGTAAATACTTTCCTACAAAATCACCGCGATACATGGAAAAGGAGATTAGTCATACGTACATACAAGGTATGTTCTCATTTCCCTTATAGCAAGAATGAAATATTAGACGACACTTGTTTGGCTGAAGGTTAATTTTCAATTTGGCATCAAATGATTGTCTTCTTTTCCCATATTTTTTAAATCTTGGTTTAAATAATGATTGCTCATAAATTTCCTTTTCCTTTTCTGTAATTATGGAACATAAGAACATCTGATATGGCATGGAAAGTACTTATATTAATTACTGATAGTGTTCTTTTCTTTTTGCAATTAGAATTTTATAAGAGATGTTAGGTTGCCTTGTATTAGTTGTACAATTTCACTATGTTTTGATTTTCTTTCAATCGTTTCCAATAGAGCTCGTACAATTAATTTGATCATATATACTTGAAAAGAAAAAATGGTGGAGAGAGAGGCTGGAGGGGGAAGATTCTTCTTGAAGAACTTGGATGTTAATAATGTTCTGTTTAATTTTTGGCTCTATGGTGTTTTCACCAAATATATCATGGAGGATAAAAAAAAGAATACCAGTGCTCTCTAGCTCTGTATTTAAGTGCATATGTTTGTGCATTTTAATCAAAGATTTCCTTTCAAAAGTATAAATGCATTGTAATTTATGAATTAGGTTGTCCCCTTCACTCCAAGTGCTGGTGTTATTGAATGGGTTGATGGAACGCTTCCTCTTGGAGAATATCTTACAGGAAGGTTTGTTAACCTACAACTAGTTCTGTCTTCAAGTACATGAGCTTTAATGACTAATATCATCGATTCTCAGCAATAGAAGTGGTGGTGCACATGGTCGCTATGGAGCAGGAGACTGGTCAACTTTAAAATGCCGAGAACACATGTCAAATGCAAGTTGCCTGCCCCTTTTATTATTTCATTAAAAACTGTAGTTTATTTTCTGTTGCTGTAAAATTTTAACCAGCTTAGAATGTGTGCTCACCCCTTCTTCCTCTGCCCTATCCCTTTTGGCATAATCAACTGGGTTATTTCTGTGGGTTTGAAATGTTCTAATAATCTGAAGGAAACATCTCTAATCCTTCTTCCTCATGGAGATAGGCAGGTGAAAAAGAAAACCTTCATGATATTGTTTTTATTTGATGATAGGAAAAAGACAAGCGCAAAGCCTTCCAGGCAGTGTGTGAGAATTTCAGGTTTGAACTTTGAATTGTAAGATAACTAATGTTCAATTGTTATGGTTTCCAGATCCTAATGTACTTAAGGTTTGACCTTTTGCAGACCTGTCATGCATTACTTTTTTCTGGAGAGATTTCTTCAACCAGCCGATTGGTTTGAGAAAAGACTAGCTTACACACGAAGTGTAGCAGCTACTTCAATGGTAGGCATACTCTGCACTATTGTTAATTTCCTATTCGTGTTAACATTAAGAATAATTTCCCCTTGTTATGCCATCCAACTATTCAGTTTTTAAGCTTATAGGACATTATCCAGTTAATCCATGCAAATAGATGGAAAGATAAAGAATGAACTAAAAAGCTTAATTTCTATATCTTTTGCACTGATAAATATACTCCCTTTTGAACATTGGGTTGACAAAAATGGGTAGTTATTCCATTCCCAACAATCAAAGTTCTTTTCCTCTTCCTATTAACAAACTCCACTTTGGTATTCATGAGATAATTGTTCAGTATTTCTGAGTCGGTGAAAAATGGAAAACATTCACCCATTTGGAAGGTTCTTGGTCAGTATTTTTTTTCCATGAAAATCATGTTTAAGGACTTCTTTTCTTTGAACTATTTATTTATGTTTCAAAAAGTACAATTTCTGTTCTCTTTAATATTATCAACTATTCAAATTAAATTTTGATTTCATACCCCTTCTCAAAACAATGTAGTCTGTCACAAAATGTTGTAATACTGAAAACATTTCTGTTTCAGGTGGGTTATATTGTTGGCCTTGGAGATAGACATACTATGAATATTTTGATTGATCAAGCCTCAGCAGAAGTTGTTCACATTGATCTTGGTGTTGCATTTGAACAAGGCTTAATGCTCAAGACACCAGAGCGGGTAGCTTATACCATATTTTAGCAATCTTTTTTCCTCCCTTTGCTTCTTTCAATTATTGTTAATAGTAATAGGAAATCTGACATATTTCTGTGAAATAAACTTTATACAGTACAATTGTCACTACCCTAGGAAACTAAATTACACTAGCTTTGGAGGAAATCTTTCTTAGGAGCAAACAAAAAATTAATTGCCAGGGGCAGATTTTATCAACTAAATAAGGGAAGAAACACAACTCTTCAATAGCTGTAGAAGCTCTGTATAATCTCAGAAAATTCCTTGATTTGAGTCAACAAAATCAGTTCCTGAAAAAGACAATCCTTAGGTGAGAATACCAGTTTCAGTTTGCATTTTAGATTTTTTAGATCTTTTGTCAATTATGGATGTTTAATAGATCAGAAGAAAGTTTTAGTCACATGACGCCCTATTTTCAGGGAGGTCCGAGGGGAGTGGTTATATTTTCTACAATGGATACCATTGTTCCATTGATAACTAAATTTTGGTTTCTTGGAGATGTAGTGTATGTATTGAAGTGATGTGACTTGTCTGTCATGTGATAGCGAATGGTTTCCTAAATATGCACTGATGCACATTAATACGAACCAACCTTTTTCCTATTGAAGTAAGAAGAGTTCAGAACTCGCCATTCTTCTCTTTGTTTAGATGATTGGTCTCAGTTTGAGGTTTCAGAGACAGAAAATGTGTTATGTTTTCCCTGGGTTGAGAGAAATGGTCTATCTAGTTTTTCTGTATTTCTCTTGGGATCAGCCAGAAAATAAATGACCAGATTTCAGCAACTAAATATGGGAAGAAACACAAATATTTTACATTTTACAATCTCTGTTGATAATATAGGTATTTAATTCCTTTATTTGAGTTATCAACTTTTAGCAACTCTCACCATCCATTCCTTTAACTGTGCCAGGTTCCGTTCAGGCTAACTAGAGACATCATCGATGGCATGGGTGTTACTGGAGTGGAAGGTGTTTTCAGAAAATGTTGTGAGGAAACTCTCTCTGTTATGCGAACAAATAAAGAAGCTCTAATGACTATTATCGAGGTATGGCTTTTTTAGACAAATTTCTCTCTAATTATCATTTTCTGATGATAAAAATGCTTTGCAGGTTTTTATCCATGATCCTCTTTATAAGTGGGCTTTATCACCCCTGAAGGCTTTGCAGCGTCAGAAGGTATTTTCTGGAACAATTGTTTTTCCCACTCACGGAATTTTGAGTTCAATATTTCTTTATTTGCAATATAAAAAGGAGCCAACATTTCTTTGGTCAAGATAAATGAAGAGTGAGATAATATGGACATTGACAAGACCCAACATATGGCATTACTGATAGCCCAGAAACATAATCGTTGCCATCTATAACAAATAAATCTATCAAGTCTCATGCCTCCATATTGAATTTTATGGCTGGTTGGTAATATTTCGAGGGGCATGAGTTAATTTTCATGATTATTTCTCAAATCAATGAATTTATTAGATGCCTAAATACAAGCTTTATTATTTCAGCAATAGATGAGTTGGAAGTCATCACCAATTTCCATCTTTCATGAGAGAACTAGTTCTTTTATTCTAAACAATAACTTACTGAACTGCTTTAACATCTGTTCCTGGAAATGTTACATATTTTCTCACGCATATAGTCTGTTTTCTTCCTCCCATGGTAATTGACAGGAAACGGATTACGATTTGGATACAAGTATAGAAGGTGCCCAAGATGAATATGAAGGCAACAAGGATGCTGCCCGTGCTCTCCTGCGCGTAAAACAAAAGTTAGATGGATACGAAGAAGGTGAAATGAGGAGTGTACATGGGCAGGTATTCTTCAACTTCAGCTGTCACATTACTGGTCTTAAATCGTTGGACTTGAATGTGAAATTGTTTGGTTTATGTGATGTAGGTTCAACAGCTGATTCAAGATGCCATTGATCCTGAGAGATTATGTCAGATGTTTCCTGGATGGGGAGCTTGGATGTGATCCTTATTCGTATTCTTTCCCTTCACTCTGCTCGGTATGAAGGATAGATAAGTGTTTATGAATCTTAACCATTTGATTAACTAATTTTTCGTCTTCACATCTTCGTGTTCTTCATACCATCAAAGCCTTCCACCCAATCATGATTTGTATAGGCGGCTCTAATTGTAACTTTTTGTTAAATAAAAAGGTCTATTTTGAGGCTTCATGACTTAGGTGTCTGTACTTTCTTTACATGAAGTTAGTAGGAGATTTCCTTTAATTTGACACTTTATTCTTGCTTATCAACATAGTTGAGTTAATCCTACGAGAAAAAACAAATAGTAGCATGAAGTACAATCGATCAGGCAAAAATTAGGAAGGTACCTACGTAGATAATGCAATGAATAATAAATGAATCAACATTTAATTCTCTATTTCCAGGGTTTTCCTGAATGGGTCAAATATGGTTTGGAAAAATCTGAAAATTGACTAGTTTAATGGGTCATTCCTTTGACTTTTGAGCATCCAATGCTATCAAACAGTCAACCATCATAAATCGACAGAGATGCTGAAAATAAATCTACTTTTTTGGAATGCTCAATGCTGGATTAAAACGAGGCTGATGCAACATGAACATTCCGATAAAGAAAAATATGAATGCTAAAGTGGAAAATCAGACATGAAAAATTCTCAATTATCCATAAGATCAACACATATGCGGAAGCATTTAAAATACAGGATAAACAACGCTTGTGGTCCCTCATGTTTTCGGCATGTTTGTCACCAGCTATAAAAAGGTTTGATCTTGATCCTTTTTGTTTTTGGTTTATTTTATTTTGGTCGTTGGATCGTTAACTCTTGTTATTTTGTTGTCGTGATATAATAGTAAAATTGGTTAAATTTTATCTGAACCTTGAATTTTAGACAGAATATCACTTTGACCTTAAATTTCCATAAAATACTAATTTAACTCCTAAATTTTATATAAAATATCAATTTTACCTTTAAATCCGTTTCATCGAAAATAAAAGAACCATAAATAAAAATGTTTTAAAAATAAAATTTAATATTAATATAAAAAAATGAAAATCAATTTAATTTCTTTTATAAGCATATTAACTTCATTTTTTATAGTATATATGTGAATTCATTATTTATTTTTCATCTTTGATGAATGATAATATCAATATCAATTTACAGATATATCAAATAAAATATCTTTACAATAATAATAATTTGAAGAATTATTGAAGGTAATTATCTCTTTTTTATTTCTTTCAAATTAATAATAGAGAAAATAACTTCAGTGACCAAAAATGTCTTATAATATACGATTTCAACTAACTTTTTTTATATTTGCAAAAATGATCAACAAATTCGCAACGCGATCTCGAATTCGCAACTCAGTTTTCAAATTCGCAACACGAATATGTAAATCACATTGCGATTTTTCAAATTCGTGTTGCGGTTTTCAAATTCGCAATACTGGATTTCAAATTCGCAACTCAATTTCTGAATTTGCAACGCAAATTTTGTTTTCGCAACTCGATTTTCGAATTCGCAACACGAATTTTAATTTCGTAACAGGTTTTAGTTTCGCAACACAAATGTTTTGGGTATATAACTACGCATCAGCAGCAACTCATAATCTAAATCCTTAAATCGCAACTCATTCCATTTCCATCTATCACTCTTTCCGGCGACATTCGTTCCTATATCCAACAACATCCTTCCCCATCTCTATTTTTTTTACATAATTTTATTTCTATATAATTTTTCAATGATTTCTCTCCCAAATTATCAACTATCAACTTAATAAATGTATATTTTTCTCTAAGTTGGTGATGATATGTAGTTTATAGCTCGTTTGTTTAGTAACTTAATTTACAATTTGTAGAATGAAATCATCTAATGTTGATTATGTTTTGATAGATTTGTGTTTTGGAGGGTCATGGGAGAATGTTCATGGTGTTTTACAATATATGCCTTTACCTATGAATCTTCAACTAAAAGTGTCATTAAAAAAGTTAACTTATGAAACTCTAGTGTTACGTGTTGCAAAGAAATTGAATTTAGAGCCTCTAAGTGGATTTAGGTTATCTTATCGGAGAAAATGTAAAGTTTATTTGTTAACCGAAAATGAAGATGTTGAACGATTCATTGCTTACATTAGTGTTTCGCAAGAAGATGATATTACATTGTATGTTGTTGAACCTAGAAGTATTGAAGTTGGGTAAGTAGCGGGTAGTAATCAACTAAGTTCTTCAACCCCAGTTTATGGTGCTCACAATGTACAACGTTGTTATCAACCTCAAAATTTAATGGTTCCACCACAATTTCATCACCAAGAAAATTTTGTTTCACCACATTTCCAATACCAAACACAATAACAAACATAATCTTAAAACCTGCAACCTTTTCTTAATCCAAAACCCAATCAACTTTCAGCACCAAATTCTGGTTTTCGTATTAACCAGTTAGACGATTATGAGCCAACAGAAAAAATTGTGAGTACTAGTCAGTATTCAAAATTTGATCTTGGTCAATACCCGGACTTTGATTTTGGTCAATACTCGGATTTTATGTAACCCCCTCAGACCGATGTGGGTAACCCGATCTGATCAAGAGTGTCACATTAGGGCCACCGGAGCGACCCACTGTAAAAATAGCGGAAAATTTAAAACTTTTATTAAAACATGTAACTTATATAATGATTTATCAGTATGTAGAAATAAAACAGATTTTCAGACTCGTATATAAAACAAAATACAATTACTTGCCCCTAATCACATGTACCGTAATCTGCAAACAACGCCGAAAGAACTTTCTTACCGAAGTCAATAGTTGCACTGGTACAATTCTTTTAACATGCAATGTTGAGTAATAGAGTGAGCTTCGGAAAGCTCAGTAATACAGAACTACCAGATGATGCTGATGAACGTGCAGATACAGATAAATATATATTTCCTTATTGTTTCTAAACATTTACAGATTTTTATGCTGAGCAGAGATCCTACTGATATTTCAAATGGTAACGGACAATGAGCTTTCAGTTCAGAGAAATATTTCGTATGACTGAGTTCAGGAGATCAGAATAGGTTTTCTAGTGTGTTCCCGTAAAACCGGTAAAAATATACAGATCTTTTAAAACATATATATATATATATATATATATATACTCACATCCTTTCACAATCTGTTTGTGTAGGTTCCCCAGAACCATACACCCAACCCACACAACCTGTAAGGCCCTGAGCACAAAGCCGAGGGTATTCAAACTCCTTTACATCCATGTCAATTGATCGGATAATCGAACAACTTGAGAATGAAGATTCATAATCTTAATAATCTATGTCGACTGGTCAATTCATTTTCCTTCCAGGGTATTTACTCTTTAATACCACAAATTCTTGTCCATAGATCATCTTCAGAATCATCACTGAATAGATCTTCCAATGGTCTTTATTTCATTTCCAAGCTTCCACGATATCATGAAATACTGACATGCTTTATTTGTAGTTCATATTCCATAAGGACAGTACATCTTATAAACTGATCAGAATTTCCAGACTTATCCAATTTACTTACTTAATCCTCTGTCATTGAGGTTACCTAGTTCATTTAAGAGTCATGTACATTCCAGTTACTTCAGGATTTTCCAGAGTAATTCAAACATTCCTGAATTTCAGACACATGTTGTACTTCCGTTCTATTCAATTTGGTATTCGTGGTTGATGTGTCGAACAAACATCCAATTCCTAGTACTGAATGCGATCCAGAGTTGAGCTAAGCTGAATACTTCTAAAATTTATCATCGAGTCACACTTGAGAAGACAAACACGTATTCCAGTAATATCTATGCTATTCAGGTATTGACATAGCTTTAGGGTTGATCTACTCACTTAAATTGTGTTCTATTACTTTTAAAGGTAGTCCAACACCCATACTTTTTTGGATTCCTTAATTAATCCAAGATCTTTACTTTGTATAGGCCATAAGGGTATTTTGGTAATTTTGGTGTTCAGTTTTATTCCATTCATATCAGAGCTCGAAGATATCCATTCATTCCTGAGTTTGGTGATATTCTTGGTTTATTTCCATTACAGGGGTATTTTGGCCATTTTACAGATTCAGTGTATTTTAATTCTTTTCTTCCGTTCGATCTTACTATTAAATTCAATCTTATCATTTATTTCAGTCCTTTCGAACAATTCTGACAGCAGAATACCCCGATAAATTATTCTTCAGGTATTTACTCATTACTCGGATATTTTCGGGTCAAGTGCCTTCTCAGATTTTACAAACGAAATATCATGATTTTTTCTTTACAAAGACATGATCTTAATAATTAAATTCGTACTTAATCGAGTTAAGTACAAATCCTCAAAGTACTTTTTCATTCAGGGTCAACTCAGACTATTTTACCTATCAAGGGCATTTTCGTAATTTCTTAACCAGATAATTTCGATATTAGCTCTTAACGAAAATAATATAATATAGAGATCCTATGATTAATTGCTTCCTCGAACATTCTTTGATCTTGAAATGATTTCTTAAAAGACTTCTAGTATCTAGCATAAACCCTCTTGGGGTTAAAAACCTGTTATCCATAATTTCCAAGTAAAACTAACATTTTTTATGCACATCAATAGTTTTATCAGATCAATAATTCTTTTCAGATTTATTAATCCACTTTCAGGGATACTTCTTGTCATTTTCCAACATAAGGGTAATTTCATAATTTTACCTAATCGAAATATTCTCATAATTTATCATCTAAGTACCTTTAATGAGATAAATTATAATCTACATATCCATGGTTGATTCTTTTATCACTTAAATCTACATATCCATGGTTGATTCTTTTATCACTTAATTCGAGAACTTGTAATTTAATTCTAACTGTCCTCAAAATTTCTTATAATAGTCATCTGAGCCATATTCAGTCACCTAATTTCTACTGTATTCGTATCGAGTATAGATCTTCATTAATTACACATATGAGACCAAACATTTTCATTCATGCATTTACCAATACAAACATGTTCTATAAAGCAGAAAGAGGTAGTAAAGTATTACCTCGATTTTCATACAATACTGATCAACCATAAAATTTCATTCGAACGCCCTCGATCTTGAAATCATCTTCCAATATTTCCTCGGATCCATACC